GTGTATCTCTCCCTCCAGCAGCTGAAAGCCGGTTTGAGGTTTCTTCCCCTTTCCCTCCTGTTGGCTTTCTGCTGCTGGAGGGAGAGACAGACCTGGCTGGATGGAGTGTGTGCCCTGGTGTTGGACCAGGGGACAGCCTGGAGCAGGGAGAGGAGAAGTGGTGGAGAGAAAAGAGCCAGGAGGAGGTGAGCTGTTTTGTGTTCTCTGGGCTCTCCCTCCTGTCCATCCAGCACATGATACACGATCACTGATAGATCGTATGGGACTGCACACACACACACAGTCTGATTACCACCCCCTGCCCACATTTTTCCCGCTGCCCGGATTTCAGCAGCCCTTGGAGGAGGGGGGTAATCATACTGTGTGTATACAGTCCTATATGATCTGAGAGAGGGAAGAGAGAGGGAAGAGAGAGAGAGAGGGAAGAGAGAGAGAAGGAAGAGAGCGAATAGAGAGAGAAAAGAAGAGAGAGAGGGGAATAGAGAGAGAGAGAGAGAAAGAGAGAGACGAGAGAGGGAAGAGAGAGGAGGGAGGGAGAAGAGAGAGATAGACAGGGGGGAGAGAGGGAAGCGAGAATGAGGGGAGAGAGAGAGGGAAGAGAGAAGAGAAAGAGAGGGAAGAGAGAGGCAAGAGAGGAAAGAGAGAGAGGAAAGAGAGAGGGAGGGAATAGAGAGAGAGAGGGAAGGGAGAGAGGGGGGAAGAGAGAAGAAGGGGGGAAGAGAGAGGGGGGAGAGGGGGGGGAGAGGACAGGGAAGAGAGAGGGAAGATAGAGATGAGAGAGGGAAGAGAGATAAGAGAGGGAAGAGAGAGAGAGAGAAAGAGGGAGAGGGGGAAGAGAGGGAGAAAGAGAAGAGAGGGGGAAGAGAGAGAGAGAGAAAAGACAGGGAAGAGAGTAGGAGAGGGAAGAGAGAGAGAAGAGAGAGGGAAGAGAGAGAGGGGAGAGTGAAAAGAGAGAGGGGAGAGAGAGAGAAAAGAAAGAGGGAGAGAGGTAAGAGAGGGAGCGAGAGAAGAGAGGGGGAGAGAGAGAGAGAGAGAATCATATATACACACACTCATTGAACTCTCTCACTGGTGGAGGGAGGGGCGCAAAATTTTTGCCTAGGGCAGCAGAAAACCTAAATACACCACTGCTACCAGGTAATATGTGGACCTAGGAATTATTGGCTTTATCTTACTCAAAGCTCTAAAAAGCCACCAAGCTTCAGGACCCAGAAAAAGAACCTATTAAGATTCTGGGAAAACAAGAAGCAATAGGAACATGTTATCATACTGTAAATGGATGACAGCAGAAACAGCTGTGCGGAAGTACTATAATTTATTCTCTAACACATTCAATTTAAAAAGCTAACTCTTTATGTCTCAGTTGTCAGCAACTGATTTTATCCATGAATATTTTTTGCTTACATTGTAAAGGGTTAATAAACTCCAAACCAAAAAATATAATTTATTGCAGCTTACCAATCGTCAGATGTGGTGGCTACATTCGTTTTCTTTTTCAGGCATTTTCTCCTCTGTTCTCACCTGGTGATCTGACCAGTAACACACATCCTGTATTAGAGTGCCCTCACTCTGGGCGAAGGTGCACAGAGACACATTTGGACAGCAGCATTGTCAGTCTGGGGGGGGGGAGGGGAAGTGTTATTTGTGCTCGTAGATATACTCCAACTCACACTGCAGTTACATAAGCAGTTACAGCAACTGTTTTTTTTCCTTTTTTGATAGAGGTATTAAATGAATAAATAAAAGTTGCTCATTGTAAGCATCCCTGTCAATGATAAATGGTTTGTCTCAGTTCTCTAATTGTTACATTTGCAGAAGAGCTTGGCCTGATGAAAAACAACAGACTTACTGTCTAAATCACCAGATAAAAATGAAGGAAAGAAAGCTTAAAAAATTAAAACTAAAGCAGCCGTTACATCTAAGAATTAGTAAGCTGTGATATAATGTTTGTTTTTGAGTTTAATACTGCTTTAAAGTCCAATTCTGGCTTGGCCCAAATAGACAAAAATGGATTTCTTTGGCTGTTACTCATCTCATCTCTGACGCTGTCCTATGCAGACTTGCCCACCCAATCCAACACAATTTATATTCTGAGCTGAATGATGTCCATTGATAAAAAAAAAAAAAGGGAATTTTGTCTATCTATTTGGTAAATACCCCCAATCGTACGCCACCAAAGCAAGCCAATGGATTGCTAAGGGGCCCAGTTGTAGATCCCATTCACCCGTCGGTACCTCTACTGCAAAATCACTTGTTTTGATGTTTTAATTTTTAGTTTTGAAGATATTACTCCTTTCATACCTGTCCACTAGTATGTAAAGATTGTACTACCTGTTCATAAATGAAGCCTGAAGTGTGTCATCTAGCACTTACAGCGGTCACTATGGAGTATGTGAACCTTTCCATGTTATTGTCAATGTTAAAAACCTTACTATGCTTTCTGCTATGCAGTTCTTCACAGTGGTTATGCTTTACTGCTGCTTCTCACATGTCTTTGAGCCTCCTGGCCAGAAAACAATGCACTCCCTGAGTGGCTGATATCTGAACAGTTGTTAAGCAGTGATTGCAGTGAAATATATACCCCCTTTAGTGACTAATCTGCAGATCACTTAGTACAATATAAAACATTGAAGAGAAAGCATGTAAAAATGTAAAGATCTTGTCAGCAATAATGTAACATGGAGTTCCGGCCCCCAACCCCCCCCCCCCCCTGCCAAAAAAAATGAAAAGTCAGCAGCTACAAATACTGTAGTTGCTGACTTTTAATATTAGGGCACTTACCTGTCCAGGGATCTGTCAGTGTCTTCACTCCAAACTGATTCTTCAGCTGATGGGTGCTGGCGTCGCCATCTTGATTAAGGGAAACCATCAGTGAAGCCCACTTCGCATGCGCGAAGCGCCCTGCGCTTTGTGAATGGGCTGCATTCCTCTGGAACCTGTGAAGTGTCCTACAGGAATGCGGACGGGTGGGGGGGGGCAACTTCCGGCATCTGGTGCAGCTGTGCATGGTAGCCAATCAGATTCTAACTTTCAAAAGGTTTGACAATAAAATCTGGAAGTTAATTGGTTTCTATGCAGAGTTGCACCAGATTTTGCACTCTCCAGATTTAGTAAATAACACCCACTGTGCAAATGTGCCTAAGCGCTAGCCGCATTTAGCGCTTGATATTTTTCTTCATTTCAATGGCCAGATTATTAATTTATTCTGGCCATTTAACCACTTCCCATCTGGCCCATGTATATATAATGTCCGGACGGGAGCAGTGCTGGAGCTGGTGGCCGTTTATAAACGTCCTCCTGCTTCCCTGCCTGTGCGCGCTCCCTCTGTGTGAGGTCCCGATCATGTGAACACACTCCAACAAGTAGTATAGTGTTACTATGGTGACACTATACTGCTAGGGTGGCAGTATGTTAAAAAAAAACCATAAATAATAATATAAAAAAAAAAAAAAATGTAAAACAAATTTCTGAAAAATTATAATTTTTTGGTTATAAACTAATTTGGGTTCTTTTTTTTTACTAAAAAGATAGCTGAATACATTTTGGCCAAGATTTATGAAGAAATATTATTTATTTGCAAAATTTTATAAGAAAAACACTTTTTTTTCAGAATACTTGGATTTTTTAATTTATATAGCAAAAAAATAAAAATCCCAGTGGTGAATAAATACCACCAAAATAAAGTTTTATCTGTCTCAAAAAAAATGCTAAAACATTCATTTGGGTACAGTGTTGCATGACCGCGCAATTGTCATTCAAAGTGTGATAGCACTGAAAGCTGAAAATTGGCCTGGACAGGAAGGGGGTAAAAGTGTCTGGACTTGAAGTGGTTAATAAACAAATGTCCAAGTGTACCTGGGGCAGCTGCCCCTCCTGCCCTTCTCCCATTGTTCTGGCCCTTCTTCTCTGTGACAACTGGTCCATTATCCTGGGCTGCAGATGGGTAGCAGTGCATGCTTCTTCTCCTGGCCATACATACCATGAATACACCATGCATTCTGCCCTCCATTAGCTTACATCACTTTATACATTTTGTTTCTGATGTCTCTGCTCCAGTCACATGGCACACAGGGTCGTCTCCCTCATGCAGCGGTGGGGAGTCCTCAGTGCTACAGGGAATGGCACAGATACAATTGTGTCAGTACAGTTCATTGCAGCCATCTCCTGCAAGCCCAGGGCAGCAAATGATAGCACACCCCCAGGGGACATGTCCTTATGCATTGACCTCATAAGAATTACGTTTTTTGACTCCAGATGGCATTTAACCTGGAAGAGGACCGGACCACTGTACAAACTCATTTACGAAAAAAAAACGTCTAAGAAGTTAAAAGAGTATTGTAATGATCCAGCCACTAGCGATAAAGCCTGGATCATACAGTGCCTTGAAAAAGTATTCATACCCCTTGAAATTTTCCACATTTTGTCATGTTACAGCCAAAAACATAAATGTATGTTATTGGGATTTTATGTGATAGACCAACACAAAGTGGTACATAATTGGGAAGTGGAAGGAACATTTTTAACAAATAAATATCTGAAACCATATACCATCACCAGCTTGACTTGTTGACATAAAACAGGATGGATCCATGTTGTGTATACCAAATTCTAACCCATCGTTATGTTGTGGCAGAGTTTGAGCTTAAATACCAATTGTTGGAGTTACCCAATTTAACATCAACATTCCTAGTAATAAAGAAATTGAAAAAAAAAACCCCACAAAAGTTGGGACTAAAATATATAACATCCTGGCCACAAATGATCCTGCTTCTAAACTGATGGAGCCCAGGGAACTTATATTTAATTGTTGTGAGGCAAGTTCTGTGGGGTTACTGTGCATGCACCTTAGAGTATTAGAGTATTTAACCACCTCCCACCCACCATATAAGGAAATGACGGGCACAAGACGGTTCTCTCATTCTTGGAGGACATCATATGACATCCACCCACTCTAACTGCGCGTGCACTGCCCCGGGGGTGCGCAGTGCTGCGATCGGTGGTGTGCTGTGTCCCTGGGACACAGTGGATCACCGATCAACAGAAAGAACCGATGACGTCGGCTCGGTCATGTGATCAGCTGTATCCAATCACAGCTGATCACATGTAAAGAGGGAAATGCCAGTTATTGGCATTCCTCTCCTCATGAGCTGTCACGCTGACAGCTCGTGAGGAGAGGAGAGCCGGTAACCAGCATTACTCAGAGGGGGCATCTATACTGATCATCAGGGCACTGATGATCAGTGTGCCCTGATAATCAGTGTAGCCCCAGCAGTGCCACCTGTCAGTGTCCATCAATGCCACTTGCCAGTGCCCATCAGTGCCCATCAATGCCACATATCAGTGCCTACCAGTGCACATCAATGCCACATATCAGTGCCCATCTGAGCTGCCTTTCAGTGCCACCTATCAGTGCCAGTCAGTGCCACCTATCAGTGCCAGTCAGTGCCACCTATCAGTGCCAGTCAGTGCCACCTATCAGTGCTGCTAATCAGTGCCACCTAATTGTGCTAATCATCAGTGCTAATCAGTGCCATCAGTGCTAATTCATCACCCCCCACAAGTAGTACAGTGTCACTATGGTGACACTGTACTGCTAGGGTGACAGTATGTTAAAAAAAAAAACATAAATAATAATATAACAAAATAAAATAAAAATGTAAAAATGTTTTTGAAAAATTATAATTTTTGGTTATAAACTAATTTGGGTTGTTTTTTTTTAACTACAAAGATAGCTGAATACATTTTGGCCAAGATTTATGAAGAAAAATTGCAAAATTTTATAAAAATAACAAAATGTTTGGACTTTTTCATTTATATAGCAAAAAAATAAAAAATCCCATTAGTGAATAAATACCACCAAAATAAAGTGTTATCTGTCTACAAAAAAAAATCATATGGGTACAGTGTTGCATGACCGCGCAATTGTCATTCAAAGTGTGATAGCACTGAAAGCTGAAAATTGGCCTGGGCAGGAAGGGGGTGAAAGTGTCTGGACTTGAAGTGGTTAAGAAAACCATTTGATGCCAAATATACTAAAAAATTGATTTTGGGTTTTCCATACACTTTAATACCAAATGAGCATCATTCTACCTGAACATTGCTGGTGATTATGTGTACTGCCTATTTTCTATATCTTTTTGAAGGCAATCACTAAGCATTTGGAATGCTGTGACTTGCACTGCTGTTTTATAATTTTAGTTTAGCTTAGATCATCAACCTTTCCAGTTCACTAGCACTGCTAAATTCTTTCTCAGAGGCATTTGTAAGGGCCTGCTTCTTGTGCAGACGCACTTGAGGGTTAATTAAAGGAACATAAATGGAAGCATGGCTCCTGGTTTAGATTTGAAAAGTCTTTTAATGATTTAAATTGGTTAAATAAAGAGTCTGACAAAACACATGCATAGCTGCCAACATTTTAACATCATTTCCAGAGCCAATTTGAAGGCCATCATATGCTGCACAACAGCTAAAGTCCATTAGCTCCGGAAAAAATTGGGGGAAACAAAAGGTTTGCATTTTATATTTTCACTAGAAACATTTTAAAAGCACATTTTATGTGCTTGTTTAATGCCCAACTCTGGGAAATTTGAAAATTCTCCCTTTCAGCAGGGTTACTCCTGCAGTGCATTAAATGTTTGTTTATTCTAGGACAGAGTAAAAGCACTTTTATTTAGCCATTTCTCCACTTCCCCAGGAAACAGTGCTGTCTCATGCTCCAGCGGTGGACTGTCCAATGGCATCCTCACGTTCAATGCAGGGCTATAGACCATGCATCAGTCTTGATAATGTTGGGGTCTCAGACTGCTGGAGCACTGGGGAGATGAGGCTGCAGGGACCTGTCTACTTACCAGACCTGGAGAATCGGATAAGTAAATCTTCTTTGCTATGCCCCTAGACCTAAAAAAGCAGTTAAGCATTTCCCAGTTGGGCTTTACATTTTAAATAATATGGGGGAGGGTATAATCTTTTTCAGTATATATTGCACTGAAGAATATATTTAAAAATATATATTTTTAAAAATATATATTTCTTAAATATATTCTTCAGCTTTTTTTTTAACATATAAAAAAGTAATTTTAACATATATTTTTACATGTATTTGTAAATGCATTCCAAAATGTAAATTTGTATTTTTAAAGACATACAGTATATTTGAAATGTATTTTTACAAATATTTTTCATATATTTTGTAATAAAAACACACACATATATATAATATATATATATATACAGTATATATATATATATATATATATATATATATATATATATATATATGAATATATTTTGAAATATATTGAATATGGCCAAAATTGTAGCATTTCAAATGTATGTCAATATATTTGGGAAGAATATTTTTAAAATATATTTCAAATATATTTTTCTTCCATATGGGTTGGCAGGAAAGATGACAACATAAATGTCTCTGGCACATTTTGCTGGCTGGAAGCTAAAAAGAGTTGGAAATTTGAGTGGAAAGTGAAAAAACAGTTTTGATTTTGACTGCTGGTGATTGCTGGTGCTTGTAGTTGTTTTATTTTATTTTTTGGGGTCTTGCTAGCAGCTTTTACTTTTTTAAATCACTTTTTCTGTCAGTTTTTAAATAGCATTTTTTTTCCTTTCCTTTCCTTCCTTCAGTCTGCTGATTAAGGGGAGGGGTTAGTTAGTCAAAGGTGCTCCAGGTACTATATAACTTTCTGTAGAGCTCACTCTGAGCTTGCTCATTCTTGTTCTTGCCCGTATTTCGCTTGCTGGACGTTTGATTAAGTGGAGTTAAAAAAACAGAATCTATTAACCTGTAAGTGACAACTGATATTTCCTATTAGTAATATTAATATTGTAACTGGGATATGAGTGCTAGCAGGGTTGAAGGTTTTGTGCAGTGCACAGTGTGCCGTATGTATGCAACAATGGAGTAACAGCTCCAGGTTGGATAACGCTGCGACAGATGTGAGCGGGTTGCCCTTCTGGAGGAGCAAGTTGCAATACTGGGCAGAACTGACAACCATGAAAAGGGTCTTCTGTTCTCTGAACACGTAGCTAATTGGATTGATGTGGAGGGTGGAGAGGCTAGTATGGATTATCAGGTAGGAAGATGGGTTACTGCACTGGTGTATTTAGGTTTTGTGCTGCCCTAGGCAATACAAAAATTGGACACCCCCGTCCACAGTGCAGAGAGCTTTATGGTGACCAACAACAGAGAGAAAGACACTCACCTTCACAGCTCTGGACATCCCCAGGAAGGACAATTGAGCTCTGCATACAACATCAAGCAGCCCGCAGCCTCTCTCGGATCTCACCTGGTCCCCATGCCGTATATGTCATTCTTCCAGTGGGCAGTGCTGCCCCCCTAACAAATGCCGCCCTAGGCAAATGCCTTTTTTGCCTTGTGGTAAATACGCCCCTGGGTTACTGTAGTGAGAGGGAGTGGTAGGGGCTCACAGAAAAGGAAGGCTGGCCCTGGGTTTGAGCACCCAAACAAATTTGTGAAGTTGGGTGAAGATGTGGGGGGTTGTAAGCTCAGGGGTGGTAGCCCTGGATACCGCTGCTTTCCCCAACAGCCGGGAGGGCAGACCATCTGGGAGGGGTGGTGAGGGTAGTGCAGGAAGGCCTAGACTAGTGGTTCTCAAGCTTCCAATGCCGCGACCCTTTAATACAGTTCCTCATGTTGTGGTGACCCCCAACCATAAAATTATTTCCGTTGCTACTTCATAACTGTAATTTTGCTACTATTATGAAAAATGATAAAACTTTCAATTGGGTGCAGCGTTGCATGACCGCACAAATGTCAAAGTGTGACAGCGCTGAAAGCTGAAAATTGGCCTGGGCACAAAGGGATAAAAGTGCCCGGTAGGCAAGTGGTTAATTAGATCAAAGCTGCAGCTAATTCAAGGCTAAGTTCCACCCACTGACCAATCAGAGTGTCTCTACCAGCTGCTGAGGTAACCTGACTGGACAGTACAATGGCAGGTGGCACAGCTCAGCCATGACACCAAGTTTATATAGAGAGGTAACAAAGTAGACCTAAATCAGAGAACACACTTATCCACACAAGGTTCTCCTGGGACAGACCAATGGTGGTGTATGCGCCCAGGCTGGGCTTTGCAGGAGAACACTCCTCACATAGCAAACAAGTCCCAGCCTGGACTCTACCGTCCCCCTCTGGAAGGATCACCATGCGTGCATGCTCTGTTCAGGTGAGACTACAACTCCCAGCATGCCACGGAACAACTTAGGACCTGAGCCCCGTGGGGAATGCTGGGAGTTGTAGTCCCCTCACTGCGACTATGGGCAGCACAGTGGCTAAATGGTTAGGCACTTCTCCCTGTGCCTGTGTGGCTTTCCTCTGGGTACTCCGGTTTCCTCCCACACTCCAAAAAGACATGCTGGTAGGGTAATTGGATCCTGGGTAAAATTGTCCCTTGAATATGAATGTGAGAGTTAGGGACCTTAGATTGTACGCCCCTTGCGGGTTAGGGACTGATGTGAATCTACAATATATATGTAAAGTGGTGCGTAAATTGTGCTATATAAGTACCTGAAATAAATAATAAAAAAAATAAATAAAAAAGTACAAGAAGTGGACTGGTTGTGCAGTGTTCTCGGTCCAGTCACCTATTCTGCGCCTCCAGCCCACACAGGCGGATCTGGCGGTCGTACTGCGCGGTCCTTCTCCTCGCTTATCACCGCCTGCTCTTTCTCCACCATCTTCTCCCGCCGTTTCTCACACACCGAGTGAATGGAGAGCAACAGAGGGCGGGGCCGGGATTCCTCACTACCTAATTGCCTTCCCACGTGACGTGACATGGAGACATGGCGCCCTCTAGTATGTGAAGTGCTTACTGCAAACCTTGTGTTGACAGACGTACTATACTATACTTAGGAGACCCCTTTGAAAGGGTCATTTGACCCCCAAAGGGGTCGTGACCCACAGGTTGAGAACCGCTGACAGTTGGTGATAATAGGGGATTCTATAATCAGAAGGACTGATAGAATAATTTGTCACCAGGGTCTCCTCAACCAAATGGATTGCTGTCTCCCTGGTACTAGGGCTCAGCATGTGGTGGATCGGGTTGAAAAATTACTGGGAGGGGCTGGGCATGACCCAGATGTCTTGGTTCATGTTGGAACCAATGACAGAATACATGGAAGGTGGAGAATCCTTAAGAATCAATTTAAAGAATTAGGCTGCAAGTTGAAGGGATGGACCTCCAAGGTGATATTCTCTGAAATATTACCTGTGCCATGCACAACTCAGGAAAGACAGGGAGAGATTAGAGAACTGAATGCATGACTAAAGAACTGGAGTAAGAGGGAAGGATTTGGGTTTCCAGAGCACTGAACTGACTTTTAATTGGGGTGCAACCTATATTCTAGAGATGGTTTGCACCTAAATGGAAGGGGGTCTGCTGTGCTGGGGGAGAGGTTTATGGGACGGCTGGAGGAGTATTTAAAGTAGGATTGAGGGGGGGGGGTGAATTAGATTATAATGGGGCATACAGATCAGACGGGTCAGTCCTTATTGGTG